GGGGAGAGGGGGGGAGGGGGGGGGGGGGGGGGGGGGGGGGGGGGGGGGGGGGGGGGGGGGGGGGGGGGGGGGGGGGGGGAGAGAGGGGAGGGGGGAGGGGAGGGGGGGGGGGAGGGGGGGAGGTGGGGGAGGGGGGGGGGGGGGAGGGGGGGGGGGGGGGGGGGGGGGGGGTTGAGGGGGGAGGGGGGGTGGGGAAGGAGAGGGAGGGGGGAGGGGGGAGGGAGGAAGGGGAGGGGGAGAGAGAGGGGGAGGGAGGAGGGAGAGGGGAGGGAGGGGAGGGGGGTAGGGGGGGGGGGGAGAGGGAGGGGGGAAGAGGGGGAGGGGGGGGAGGGGGGAAGGGGGGGAGAAGGAAGAAAAGGAGGGGGGGGGGGGGGGGATGGGGGAGGGAAGGAGGGGGAGGGGGAGAGAGAGGGGGGGGGGGGGAGGGGGGGGAGGGGAGGGGGGAGGGGGGGGGGAGGGGGGAGGGGGGGAAAGAGGGGGGAGGGAGAGGAGGGGGGGGGAGGGGGAAGAAGAGAGGAGGGGGGAGGGGGGAAGGAGGGAGGGGGGAGGTGGAGGAAGAGGGGGGGGGAAGGGGGAGGGGGGGAGGGGGGAGGGGGGGGGGGGGGGAGGGGGGGAAGAGGAGAGGAGGGAGGGGGAGGGGAGGGGGGGGGGGGAGGAGGGGGGGGGGGGAGGGGGAGGAGGGAAAGAGGGGGGGGGGGGAGGAGGAGGGGGGGGAGGTAGGGGGGGGGGGAGGGGGAAGAGGGGGTGGGGGAGGGAGAGGAGATAGGGGGAGAGGGAAGAGGGGCGAAGGGAAAGAAGAGAGGGGCGAGAGGGGGGGAGGGAGAGGAGGAGGGGGGAGAGAGAAATATTAAAATAGATTTCAGATATATTTTTCTTCCATGTGGGTATTGTCACCTGGTCCTCCCCACAGCACTGATCTGAATACTACAAGATCTACGATTGGAGGATGTGAGCGGCTAAAGTTAAACCCAGTAGAGCTGGAAGGTCCTTGCAGAGGTGGGGAGATTTCCACACTAGGCTGCCTGTGACAAGGGTCATGGCCATGATTACAGGAGAGGGACCCAACACAAAACATAGATAATTACATTGTCATTCATTAACCCAGTCCAGTGCGCAGAAGTCTCCAACTTTCTACAGAGTCAATAGCTAAAGACCTCCAAATTTTGGTGTGTGTCCTTCAGATGAGCCCAACAACAGTGTGTAGAGAGCTTCATGGAATGGGTTTCCATGGCTGAGCAGCTGCATCCAAACCTTACATCACCAAGTGCAATGCAAAGCATCGGATGCCGTGGTGTAAAGCACACCGCCACTAGACTCTAGAGCAGCGGAGACATATTCTCTGGAGTGATCACACATCTCTGTCTGGCAATCCGATGGACTTGTCTGGGTTTGGCAGTTGCCAGGAAAACGGTACTTGCCTGACTGCATTGTGCCAAGTGTAAAGTTCAGTGGAGGGGGGGATTATGGTGTGGGGTTGTTTTCAAGGGTTGGCCTTGGCCCCCTAGTTCCAGTGAGGGAACTCTTAAGGCGTCAGCATACCAAGACATTTTGGACAATTTCATGCTCCCAACTTTGTGGGAAGAGTTTGGGGATGGCCCTTTCCTGTTCCAACATGACTGCCCACCAGTGCACACAAAGCAAGGTCCATAAAGACATGGAGGAGCCAGTTTGGGGTGGAGGAACTTGACTGGCCTGCACAGAGCCCTGACCTCAACCCCATAGAACACCTTTGGGATGAATTAGAGCGGAGACTCTGAGCCAGGCCTCCTCCCCCGACATCAGTGCCTGACCTCACAAATGTGCTTCTGGAAGAATGGTCCAACCTTCCCATAGACACCCTCCTAAACCTTGTGGACGGCCTTCCCAGAAGAGTTGAAGCTGTTATAGCTGCAAAGGGCGGGGCCAACTCAATATTGAACCCTACGGACTAAGACTGGGAGGCCATTAAAGTACATGTGCGTGGAAAGGCCCGGCTCCGACCAATACTTTTGGCAATATAGTGTATGTATGGTGAATGACCATTAGGCCCACCCACCCCCATTGCCACATGTGGTCAGCAGGAGGTTAATGGCGTTCAGTCCAGATGACAGACCTGGGATCTTTGAGCAGCAGTTGTCGGATGAAGTCTTTGGCCATTTCACTGGTTTGTTTGAAAAAGCGATCATCGAATTCATAATTCCCGGATACTACGTTTGTTAACGTTTCTGGGTCAGTTTCACCTTGGAATGGCGACATTCCGCTGAGACTGGAAAAAAAAGGAGAGAATATAGGAGGTGAGTTAGTTTCTACTATGGAGGCGCTCAACAAAATTAGGAATGCAGATAATATCGGGGTGCTGGAAAGAGGCTCTGCAGCTTACGCATGTATTTGCAAACATGTGCACACTAAACCCCTGTAGGGGGTGGAACCAAGGGATGTTGCTCAGAGGAGGGGAGGGGGTGGAACCAAGGGATGTTGCTCAGAGGAGGGGAGGGGGTGGAACCAAGGGATGTTGCTCAGAGGAGGGGAGGGGGTGGAACCAAGGGACGTTGCTCAGAGGAGGGGAGGGGGTGGAATCAAGGGACGATGCTCAGAGGAGGGTAGGGGGTGGAACCAAGGGACGTTGCTCAGAGGAGGGGAGGGGGTGGAATCAAGGGACGATGCTCAGAGGAGGGTAGGGGGTGGAACCAAGGGACAATGCTCAGAGGAGGGGGTGGAACCAAGGGATGTTGCTCAGAGGGGAGGGGGTGGAACCAAGGGATGATGCTCAGAGGAGGGTAGGAGGTGAAACCAAGGGACGATGCTCACAGATGGGTAGGAGGTGGAACCAAGGGACGATGCTCAGAGAAGGGTAGAGGGTGGTACCAAGGGACGATGCTCACAGGTGGGTTGGGGGTGGAACCAAGGGACAATGCTCAGAGGTGGGTAGGGGGTGGACTCAATGGACGATGCTCAGAGCAGGGTAGGGGGTGGAACCAAGAAACAATGCTCACAGGTGGGTAGGGGGTGGAAGCAAGGGACAATGCTCATAGGTGGGTCGGGGGTGGAACCAAGGGACGATGCTCAGAGGAGGGGAGGGGGTGGAACCAAGGGACAATGCTCACAGGTGGGTAGGGGGTGGAACTAAGAGACAATGCTCAGAGGACAGTAGGGGGTGGAACCAAGGGATGATGCTCAGAGCAGGATAGGGGGTGGCACCAAGGGACGATGCTCAGAGGTGGGTAGAGGGTGGAACCAAAGGACGTTACTCAGAGCAGGGTAGGGGGTGGAACCAAGGGACGATGCTCAGAAGTGGGTAGGGGGGTAGAACCAAGGGACGCTGCTCAGAGGTGGATAGGGGGTGAAACCAAGGGAGAATGCTCAGAGGTGGGTAGGGGGTGGCACCAAGGGACGATGCTCAGAGGTGGGTAGGGAGTGGAACCAAGGGACGATTCTCAGAGGTGGGCAAGGGGTGTAACCAAGGGATGATGCTCAGAGGTGTGTAGGGGGTTAAACCAAGGGACGATTCTCAGAGGTGGGTAGGGGGTGGAACCAAGGGACGATGCTCAGGAGGTGGGTAGGAGGTGGAGACAAGGGATGACTCAGAAGGTGGGATTTCCTGAATTGTAGTATTGGCATTGCAAGGCTATAACACAAGGTCACCCCCTTTTGGCAATGTGTTCTTTCTGCACAAACAATGAACCATTCAGTAAAGTATATAAAGCCAATAATTCCTCATCTTGGTTACAAATAGCATTTTTAATGGTACTAGAAAAAAAAATACTTACAGAATATATGTAATCACACCGATACTCCTGAAATAAAAAAGGAAGAAGAATATAAAAGCCTGAAAAAGCAGGCCGAAGAAAATCGCATTCAAGGACAGCACAGCCGCTAAATGTGGCACTTCCACCCGGCAGTACTAGGGTCATTGGTTCAGATCCCAACCATGGCACCACCTGCCTGGAGTTTCCATGTTCTCCCTGTGCCTGCGTGGGTTTCCTCCGGGTTCTCCGGTTTCCTCCTACACTCCAAAGACATGCTGGGAGGTTAATTGGCTCCTGTTTAAATTGGCCCTAGTATGTGTATGTAGGAGTGTGAGTTAGGGACCTTAGATCGTACACCCCTTGAGGGTTAGGGACCTTAGATTGTATGCTCCTTGAGGGTTAGGGACCTTAGATTGTACGCTCCTTGAGGGTTAGGGACCTTAGATTGTACGCCCCTTGAGGGTTAGGGACCTTAGATTGTACACCCCTTGAGGGTTAGGGACCTTAGATTGTACGCCCCTTGAGGGTTAGGGACCTTAGATTGTACACCCCTTGAGGGTTAGGGACCTTAGATTGTACACCCCTTGAGGGTTAGGGACCTTAGATTGTACACTCCTATGTAAATGGTGTTTGCAGCACACGTGTGAGGTATTGCCGTGAACGTTAGAACGAGAGCAATACTTCTAGTGTAAGACCTCCTCTGTAACCCTAAAGAGGTATCCTGTAAACATTTTTAAAGCGTCTCCTATGGAGATTTTTAAATGCCTAGTTTGGCGCCATTCCACAGGCATATGCAATTTTAAAATGCAACATGTTAGGTATCTATTTACTCAGCCTAACATCCTCTTTTATATTTGAACAAAAACATTTAGGTATTATATTGCGTTTGTGTGCAATAAAATTCATTAAAGTGTATTTTTTCCTCAAAAAAAAAAAAAATTGCTTTTGAAAGCAGCTGCATAAATACTGTGTGGGGAAAAAAAAAGAGAACGCCCTCCATTGTATTTTCTAGGGCCTCTGCAAAAAAAATATATATATATATCTCTATCTATCTATATATATATATATATATATATATATAATGTTTGGGGGTTCTAAATTTTCTAGCACAAAAAAAAAAAATTGTGTTTGAAAGTAGCTGCACCAATACTGCATAAAAAAATGACAACGCCCTCCATTTTATTCTCTAGGGCCTCTGTAAAAAAAAATATATATATATATATATATATATATATATATATATATATATATATATATAGATATATCTATATATCT